TTTCTAGCGATTCTAAATCGCTACTTCTAGAGGCCTAAGTCTATAGCTATAGCGTAGTACTTAAGAATAGGGTTGCTAATAATAATAGTAGCTCCCCTATATAGGTTATCTATATCTACTACGTAGGCAGTAAAGTCTAGTAGGCGTTTATTTCCGAGGTCGTCCTTTAGAGCTATAGGAATATAGTAGGCCCTATAGGTCAAGTGCCGAGCGTTATTAAACTAAGCAAGGGTTAGTAGGTTAGTCCTCGGCAGTTGTCGAAGGTCTAATTGCTTAGCTAGGCGATAGCTAATAAGGGCACTAACTGAATTTCCTAGATCTAGTATAACCTTAGTTTAATAGCTAGTGCCCTTCGTATCCTATATAAGGCAGGAGCGTATTATAGCTAGTACAATGTCGATAGTCTTACGCTATACGAGGCTAATAGTTAGTGCGGCGCTTACTCTTTTTTCGAAGGTTAGCCTATAGGGGTAGCGTTAGCCGCTAAGAGGTACTTTCGGTGTTTAGCGGAAGCACGGTTAATTCGGGCCTAGTTATTAGGTTTGTCGTATTAGCCTAGTAGATAGCTAGTACTATTATAATTGAAGCACTTCAATCCCGTTAGTAGACTACTATAGCTGTTATTACTATTATTAGCCGAGCGGTTAGTATTATAGGGATACGAGCCCCTTCTACGGCCCCTATCGCGGCCTCCTCTATATAGCCGACGGCTACGGCCTCTTCTACGGTCGTTATTACTGTTCCTACTGTTAGTATTGTTGTCCTAGTAGGAGCCTTAGTTTCCTCCGCAGCTACGGTTGCTACGGTTAGTACTAGTTAGTCGGATCCTTAATTCTAGTCGTTGTTAGAGCTAAACAGCCCGTTCGGCTGTTTCTACTTCGACTATAAATTAAATGCGTATTAGATTAGCTTGTTCGAACACACGGCGACGGTCTAATTCGAGGATAAGTTCCTATCGCAATTTAGGGCGTATTTCGGAAATCTAGATAGAGTCGGTCTTAGCTAGCAAATCGTCCTCGAGGGTCTTTAAATAGGCCTTAAATAAGCGAGCCGATTGATTAGTCTTTTGTTTAGCTCGAAGGTATTAGTCCTAAGCGTGTTGTTACCTTAGTATAGGGTTTCTAAGGGTGTCTAGTATAATAGTCTTATAGTCTTGCTACTAAACAGCGGTCTAATTAGTAAGGGAGTCGAAATAGTCGTCCTAGGTACGCTTTAGGTCGCTATTAATGTACTATATAGCGTAGACAACTAGTAAATAGTTATCTAGAAGAGCCCTCGGCGCATTTCGTTAGTTAAGCTTATAATCGCGTATATAATTATTGTATTGCTTGCGACTAGAGCCGTTAAATACGGTACAGTCCTTAAGCTTAGCATCCTTCTTTTAGACAGGGACGGGTAGTAAGGAAGGCCCTACTATCGGCTTAGTATTAGTTATTAGGGCTTCCTATAGACGGCGAATCTCGAGGAGATTATCCTTTAGCTGTTGTTCTTAACGTAGGGCAGTAAGCCTGTTTTAAGTGGCTTCTTAAAGTCTCCCTACTAGTTAAGGGCTAAAGGCCGGCTAGCTATATCGTCGATTAACAATGTTGTTAAGAATGTCGTTAACAGGTAATTCTAGATTATTACTTAGAATTGCAGGTTCTTCCTTAATAGGCTCTCCGGTAGGCTCTTTAGTAGGAGGCACTTTAGTAGGCACTTTAGCGGGAACTGTGCTACTAGCGTTGTTATTGCTAGCGCTGCTAGCGGCAGCACGGTTATTGTTTCGTAATAAGCCGGCTATTATAATAGGGGGTAATACTAATAATATATTGTTAGCCCCTAAGATGCGGATATAGCGGAATTAGTAGATATTAGTCTAGTACGATTAACTTAGTATAATAGGCCGTGTAGAAGGCCTTGCTTAATAATTAGTACGGTTGTTTCGATAGAATAGTACGTATAGGTCCCGTTCTTTAGGCGTAATATAGTTAGATTAGTCTTGTTCGTAGCTATACCGCTAAAAGCTTAAAATAAGAACTATCTAGCTGCTGCCCTTAAAGGGTAGATCGAATACTGTATAAGAAGGGTATATTAGCAGGTAGATAGGGTAGTAGTAGGTACGAGTAGTATTCGATAAGGAGCTAGAAGGAGAGGGAGGAAGGCAGGCAAGTTAGCCTATTACTAAGCGCTAAGCCCTACCTAAGGCATTACGACCCTAGCTTCACTCGAGCCCGGTTACATGCTAATTACGTATAACCTCTTTAGTCCTAACAGTTAGTTAAACCGGCTTCTAATCTAACCTCAATTTAGCTTACTAACGCCGGCGTTATAATAGCTAAATTAGAGGCTTAGAAGCGGTAGGACTATTATATTATTAGAGACTTCTTATATAGTTATATAGACTATCTAAATTATTATAAGGCAGGTAAGCATACCTGCTTCCGAGACAAGGCCTTAAAGGACTATAGTAAGAACTACTTTCCGTTCTACGAAGCCGCTATAATCGAGGCTTACAAAGCTATCGCTTCTAGCGAGTAGAAGCGGACCGAGACTAATAAGCTAGACGATAGAATGCTAGTAAGGATCGAAGTAATAGTAATTAAGAGGAAGATTAAGTTACAGTTCTAGAAAGGCGAGGTTAAAAAGATAAGGGCTCGTCGTAGTAGTAAGAGCGACTCGCCTCGTAAACTAGCTATCGGCTCTTAACCTATTATCCTTAATTCCTTCGGCGACGAGATAAGGCACTTCTTAGATAGCAAGCTGCGTAGATCTAGTGTAATTCCTAGCACTCCTTATAAGACTCCTACTCGCGCTCTTACTAGAACTAGTTTGCGAAACCCGCCGGCGATACCTCGTAATATTATATAGTCCTCGAAGCTAACCGTCGAATTCTTCTAGTAGGTCGGCTTATAGCGCGGATTTTAGGATTACGACGAATTACGCCTATATATCGCTTATTTCGTATCTTCCGAATAGACGCTAGAGACTATCTATAATTTAATAAAGGACGACTAGCCGGCGGCACTTAATATAGTAGATAGAATAAGGTTAAGGTTAAAGAAAGCTATCGTCGAGTTTATAAGGAAGAAATAGGATAAGATTATAGCGGCGGAAGCAGCCGCTACTTAGGAGGGAGAGAATTTCTAAGAATTCTTAGCTTCGTTTAGGCTACAATCGCTATATATCTATAATATATATAAACTTATAATAAGCGGGAGATTCTTACGGTAATAGCACTTATTTTAGCCTATATATAATCGATTAATATAATGCGTTAGTTATAGAACACTAAGCGCGATAGGCAAAGCTAGCATTCGAATATATTTATTTAAATCTCTAACTCGGCGCTTTCCGCGCGCTAGTAGCGACTAGTTACATTACTCGAAATCCTCGAAGTCTACCTCTTGTTCGCTATCTTCCTTATTATCTTTATTAAATATACCCTTACTATTATAATACACTTCCGATATATCCTTAATTATCGACGGTAAGGTATTCTAAGCCTATTCTATCTATTAAGACTCTTCCGGGTCGAGCGCTAGCATATTCTAAGCCGCTCTAGTAGTATGTTCGAATTCGGCTAGATCGTACGGAATATCGACTCTATTAATATTATATCTAGCATAAGCGAAGAGTCTACGCGCCCTACGGCCTTTATACTTATATAAATACTATAGTAAGTAGTCTTAGAACCTATAGAACTTTAGAAGCTTATCTCTGTAATTTTTAATAACTTTCTTTAGTAGATTAAAGCTCCCTTTAATAGGGTTTAGATCCGGCGAGTATAGCGGTAAGTACTCGAGATAATAGCCGGCTTCTAGGATTAGCTCCTTTACCCTTCTACTATAGTAGATGCTAGTATTGTCTATTACAAAGATTATCGGCGGACTATCTTTAAGGTACGGCAATACCTAATCTTCGAGCTAGGTTTAAAAGCGCTCTACGTTAATCGACCCTTAGTAAATACATATATAGGGCAGATACCCGTATATCGTAAAAGCCGGTAAAACTAACTATCTAACTTCTCTCTTAGTATACTAAACATTAACACAGGTTATACCCTTCGGAGACTATCTATACTTGCGCTAACCTGTCTTCTAATTGTTAGTAGTTTCGTCGATAAATACTAGTCGATCTACCGGCTATTTAGCGTACCTAATCGTCTATAACGCCCTTAAGAAGGGATTGCGCTCCTTCGCCTAACGCTTTACTTCCGTCCGAGTTAGACCTATCTTCTACTTTAATACCTTCGTTAGTAACCGCGGCTTAATCTCTATATCCTTACTACCCTCCGAGATAGGCCTTAAACGTACAAACTCGTCCTAAAGAGCTTAGATTATCTTATTAAAGTATGCGTCCGGACGGTCTATAAGGAAACTACGTAGGAAGTCCTATTCTTTAGCTAGCATTATAATATAGTATATATTACGAAAGGTACTAGTTCTAGGTATATATAACTCGCTAAATAGCTTCTACTTAGTCTAATAGCGATATACCGTCCGTACGGATAATAGCAACTTCGAGAAGGCTAGTATTTGCTTAGGAGACATCCCTTTACTAAATAGATTTATTAATTAGCCTTACTAGTCGAGATTAATACGTACCTTCTTAACTATAGCGGCGACAGCTATAGTAACGACAATAACACCTCGGAAGGGTCTATACTACTGAAATACCGACGACACGATATCTACGATATACTAGAGGATTCTATACATCAGAAGGAGGAGAAATAATTCAGAAACCACCAAAAAAGCGGTGTAGTTCCTCTCTCGGAGGTGCAGGGTTCTCCCCGCACCGGCACTGACAAGTTAGAAGCGACACATAGTAACTAGCTTGTCAGCCGCTCGTGTAACAAAACGAGGCCTACGGTTGGCAGAAGTGGCGGGCAGGCGCCTACTACAACTAGTCCTAGCGTATATCAGCCTGCAGCTGGTTTTGTAGACCTCACTCTGCTGCACACTCTCCTTCCAACCTCACCTCTACATCTCACCGCCGAGCTTCGCTTCACAATCAGCTCCCTGGTGGTATGCCGTGGATTTTATCGCCGACGGCAGTATGAGGAGCTTTCTTTTCGCCTTCCTGGCCCTCCTCGGACGCGGCTGGGCCGCGAATCCTGACGAGGCGAAACAGGCCGGTATTGATGACCAGGCCAAAGCAGCTTATTTCGTTCTGGCAAGCTCGGGTTACGTGTTCGCCTTGAACGTGGCGGCAAATGGAGATGTCTACTACCACATGAATGCGCCTTCTTCACACTCCTGGATGGGCGTGGGCTTCGGCAGCAGCATGGACAATGCTCGAATGCTGATTTCTTATGTCGGCTCGGATGGCCATACTCTCGTCAACACATGCCGCATGTCTAAAGGCCACTCGGAACCCGAATGGGAGTCTGATGTTGTGATTGAGGGTGTCCACAACGACACTTATGCACCCTACTCGAATACCCTCAGCCCTGATGGAATCATGATTGCGCACGCCATTTGTCGGAATTGCTCGCAATGGGCAACCGGCGGCCTGGACACGTCCAGCACGGCACAGCCTTTTATATTTGCGCTGGGACCGAATGTCACCTTAGAGGACGACCACCCGAATGCACCGCTGCGGCTTCACGAGTTTCATGGGAAGTTCCAGCTAGACATGACAGTTGCCACTAATTTCAGTGGATCCCACGGGCGAGTCCCAGCACCGCAAGATCCAGGGCTGCAAGTTGGAGATTCATTCTGGGCTTTTGCGAATTACATGTCTTCGAATGTCTATAAGACCGGCACCGATTCAGAGTGGGCTCAGACCGCACATGCGGTCTTCATGTGTCTCGCCTTCCTCTTGGTGTTTCCACTCGGAGCCATCTGCTTGAGACTGGTTCGTCGCGCAATGGTACACGCCATTGTGCAGGTTTTTGGCCTTGGTCTGGTCTTGATAGGTTTTGGACTTGGCATATACGCTTCGAAGCTCTACAATAAGGTAAGTCCGACGTTTCTCGCCCGTCCAAAGCAGTCGCTAATGATCACACAGTCCAAAAGCTTTGCCTCTGCCCATCAAATCATTGGTCTGCTCGTATTTGCCGCGTTATTCCTGCAAGTTGGTCTTGGCCTAAGCCATCATTTGCTATACATGCGAACCGGATCTCCAACGATATTGGGCAAGATTCACCGATTTCTGGGTATCAGCATCTTAGTGCTTGGCATTGTCAACGGTGGTCTGGGACTTGATTTCGCAGGCAGTCCCAAGGTCGCGTACGGTGTCGTCGTTGCCATTATGGTGGTCATATTTGCTGTACTCTCCGCATGGGTACACACCTATGTGCAACGTCACGTGTACAAACCGGAAAAGGAGCCATTCGCGAAGCATGACTATGGCTCTGAACCACCGGCAGAATATGAAATGTCCTTCGCGACAATGGGGCAGACTGGCTACGTTCAGACTCCGCGAACTCCATTCTTTGGTCAGGCGAAATACACAGATGATCCCGAAGACTATCGGAGCTATGCGACACGAGAGAATGAGCAAAGAGGACGGCAAGAGAGTCTCTATACCGATACGCCGGCCTCCGACAGAGAGAATCCTTTCAAGTCGAAATGGGAGGCAGTGCCACTGCGGTAGCACCAGTGGCTTCGTTTGCCATGGCTTTTGTTCTTGTTTGGCGGCATTATCAGCATAGCGGTGGCGATCTGCATTTCTAGCGATATTGTACAGTTCATGACGAGACGAGCGAATGATACCCTGCAGAAAGACATGTATTCATCAAACGGCCGCTGTGCCACAGCTTCAAATTTCGCCTTGCGTTCCGTTTGCATCTATATTTGGCGGCTCTGCATATGGTCCACATAGCTGGGCGCTTAGGACAGCAGCGTGGAGTTGGTCTGAATCGATTGGGCCTTCTACACACTGTGCATGCGGAATCACAATGAGCCATCGTTTCACGTAGAAGCGATCAATCTAATTTGCGAGCTGCGATGTGAATCATGGAATTGCAGATATTCATGTCGTTGGATCTGGATCTTGGTGAAATGTTGGTCTGTGCCACCATCAGACATTCTGGATCAAGTGGGATATGGAGGTAAGGCAATTTTTTTCTGGCCGGCAAGACTGTTGCACATGTTCTCGCGCTGATGACTTTTGGAGACTCTGTAGAGAAGATGGTGTCTTTAAATTTGTAAAGACTGCGACTGCTTGGCAAGCCTGTCCCCGCCTCGAGGCAGCAACTTTGACTTCATCTGTTATGCGCGAAGCACATGTTCACGATTTGTGATTGACGAATAACGAATGACGATGAGACGAAGACGATCGGATTTTGTTTGATGACGGAACGCGTATAGCAAAGGTTCACGGGCATCACACGCAGAGGTCATGGCGCAGGTACCCGAGCAGACGCTGCAGTGGCTGTATAATGCCCTTCATGTGAGTCGGCGCAGCGCATGGCTTCAGAGAGCTCGTCTGATGTTGCTTCAGGACTACCAAGACCCTCAAAGAACGTACTCAGATACTGCCAGAACGCTCTCGCTATATCCCTCATTATTGCCTGCCACCGAAGTCTACACCCAAGAGGATGGCACTTCTTCACTACTTCTGCGCCTTGCAGGCACAGTGCCTGCTGCCTTTCGAGGAACCACCTATCGATTCCCTGTGAAGATTTGGATTCCACATGCATATCCATATGAGGCGCCATTTGCATACGTGGTGCCAGGAAAAGAGATGGTCGTTCGGCCGGGCCAGCACGTTGGTGTTGATGGTCGCATCTATCATCCGTACCTGAGAGACTGGGGCAGGATCTGGGATAGAGCCAATACCTCGGACTTCTTGGACCATCTGTCGCAGGTATTCAGTCGCGAGCCTCCAGTGATCAGCAGAGCTCAACAGCAGCAATATCAACAGCGGTCAAATGCGCCAGCACAGCCGGGCCCGGCGCCCCCGCAACTACCTCCTAAGAGAGCTGTTGGTGGTCTCGAGTCATCTCAGTTGTCGGGTGTAGGGACACCGCCGCCCTTGCCGCCGAAGCCTGGCGAGGAATATGCAGAAGCGAGGCGAGATGTTGCTCGAGATGGCCCACCTCTGCCGCCCCTACCGCATGAAGCAGCACATCAACCGCGTTCGTCCTCTCTCGCGCAGAACACGTATCGACCGACCCCCAGAACACCGTCTCAAAATATCCTACCTCCCTCTCCAATGCAACAAAATGGAAGGTCATCTGGTACTCCTTTCCCTCCGTTTCAACATGAGCAATCGCTATCACAGCATCAACACTATCGTGCGCACCAGGATCGAAGTCCTGTCTCTCCTGTGTCGCCGATCAATCGCGTGTCAGAACTGCCTGGGAACAAGTATGTGCGCCCAGCGCCTTTGCCACAGCCTCAATCCCAACCGCCCTTACAGCAGCCTACACAGTGGCCAATGCCCCATTACTCTCATCAAGAGCAGTCATCTTATGAACAGAAGTACTCTCAGATACCTCACCAGCATCCTTCGCAGCAGGCTTGGCTTCAAGGTCAGATACAACATCAGCAGCGGCCAAAGGAGAAACAAGCCGCGCCCGATCTGTTGACCGATCCATTCGACGTGGCAATACCAGCATCTGGCCCTTCGCTTCCAGCGCCTCCCATCCCGCCGAACCCAGAAAAGGAGCATCTTCTCCAAGCCATCTCAACGTCACTTGTGCAACAGGCACAGCAGAAAGTCAATCAGAATCTTTCTGCTATTGCGCCGCTTCATGCCCAGGAGTATGCTTTGCGTATGGCACAAGATCGCTTGGAAGGAGAGATCAGACAATTGGAACAACTTGAACAAGCCATTTCAATCAACGAATCTATCCTACATCGAAGCATACAGGACTGCGACCGAACTATCGCTACAGCACGATCAAAGAAGCAGCCCGCTATCGATGAAGTACTGCTTGCACCCACAATGGTCGCAAATCAGCTTTGGAACTTGTGCGCCGAAGAAGCGGCGTGCCGAGAAGCAATGTACTTCCTTCAGAAAGCCGTTGATCGTGGTCGAATCCGTGGGGACGTGTTCGTGCGGCAAATGCGAAACTTAGGACGCGAGTGCTTCTTGAAAATGGCTCAAGCAAGGAAGTGCGCTCTGGGTATGGGTTTACATACTCCCTATGGCAGATAGTGTCAAAATAAACCACGATGAGGGTCAAGGGTGCATGCAATACAGAGCTCGATTCATGAGCTTTCCTTAATGATCTGATTCAGTGTCTTGACGTATTCATCAACCTCTTTGGCTCCTTCTAGCGTAATATCCCTTCTCCTGCCTTCAAACACTATGTAAGGCACGCTATCAATCCCATTTCCAGCCTGCTCTCGAATCATCATTTTCACATCTGCCAACCCTTCATCTCCATCCTCCAAAAACCTCCTCGCATCCGCCTCTTCAATCCCCGCCTCCTTCGCCGCGGCCAGCAACGTCTCATCACTACTCGGATGCCGTTCCCCCTCAAAATACTGCCGATACAAACTCCTCACCATCCCATCCGCAATCTCCGGCCCCCTGCTCTCTTGAAAATGCTGAATCAAGCGATGCGCAGGCAAAGTATTCGCAACCAGACCCCCAAATTTGAAATTGATCCCTTCAGCTCTCCCGAAATTTTGCATGACATGTTCGTACATTTCCATTTTTTCGTCCGAGTCTCCGTATCGTGTTGTTTTGTACCAGGCTTTCTTGTCTTCGCCGTTCTGGGAGGCGTTCGGGTAGAGTTGGTAGGGTTTATATTTGATTGTGAAGTGGACGGGAGAGGGGGAGGGGATTTGGGCGAGGGCTTTTTCTAGACGGCGTTTTGCTAGGTATGTCCTGTTTTTTTTAATAATCAAGCGTTAGCAGATGTTTGAGAAGTGGGAGGTTTTCTCTGGTCATTATTGCTCCTCTTGCTTACCATGGACAGATGGTGTCTAGAGTGAACGATATCTCGGCTTCGTAGGTCATGGTTCCAGTGTTCTTGACAAGAAGATGGACCGGTAAAGACTTCGCTGTATGGTGATCTATACAATATCTGAAGGCGGTAGTCAGTGATGTACGCCTCGGTATATAGCGCTCCGCATCTGAATCTCCATTGTTCCGCGACGCCTGCAACGCAAGACGATTGCTTCCAGATCAGCGGAGGCTGCCCCTCGTCTCGAGATCCACCAACACATCAGTCCACTGACGGCTAGAATACTTCGCATACACTATGCCTTTCGAGGCCACCAAATCTTCGCCTGGTTCTGTGATGTTGGCGGTAGCTATAGGACACATCGATACGGAGTTGTCATTGCGCTTACTTGCTTCTAGAACTTATCCAACTCTCATCCATCTAACACAATAAACGCTCGCGACGGCAAAGCCATCGCGATGGGGGTATCTCCAAAGATAGGAAGCCGCGCCTTGCTAATGCACAACATCCTCTCTATAGCCACAATCGATTTACCCAAGAAAAAGTATTTCGTTCAAATCATAATTGCCACTCTTCTGGCGTTCTTCCTCCACTGTTGGTCCCAACATAGCTTCTGTCTACCGCCCAGATCCACTCGCCGCGCTCTTTGTCGTTGCGGCACGCAAAGAGCCAGGCTTTGGTGGAGTATACAGCCCAGACTTCCATTCTAACATTCGGTCGCTGGAGCAGTTTGGCAACTTCCGGCTCAGCGTCGATGCGGCTGTTTGTGAGGTTGATGGCATTGACCTCGTCTCCTTCCTTGGAATAGAGGTGTAAGAATGGGCGGCGAAGCTCAACATACGTTCGTACCCAATGCTGCCCGGAGACATCAGGACACAGCAGCCACCCGGCCTTGAGAACGGTGGGAGACTTCAGGTGGGTCTCGGTGGTGGCGGCTAAAGGTAATTGTTCTTCGGCGCCATCACGACTGCCGTTTGCGAAGGCGGCGCCGTTTTCTGGAGACTCCGTATTGGACTGAAGCAGCATGATCTCACCAGGGGAAGTGGTGGTCGTCCAAAGCTCAAGGACCTTTTCCAAGATCTCCTTTTGCTTCTCGCTGAACTTGTCGCCTTCTGCTAGTAGAGCTTTTGCGGGCGGCGACAGTGCGCCGAAGGCAAGCACTCCACGGGCTGCCTCGATCTCTGCAATGCGTCTCTGCCGCTTTCGCAACTGCAGGAAATCTCGGATCAGTGAGACGCCTCTGGGCGCCCAGCTGGAGAGCATCTCCTCTCCAGAGATGTAATCGCCTGTGGTATCCATACGCCACAAATCACCGGCGCGCTTTGCTTGGCTCGGCTTGAGGGTCACTGCGTAATTTGAGGCAGTGGAGTGGACTACTCGCTGGTTGTAGAACAGCTGACCGAGCAGAGACTGTTGGCGGAACCACGCTCGAGGCCGCGTCTGCACTGCAAAATCGAAGCCAAATTGCAGCGGATGTGTGATCCTCGGTGAGTGGACTTCCCACTTCAGTGTCAGCTGCACTTTGTACTTGTCTAAAGTAGGCCTGTCAAGCAGAGCAGAGCTGTGGGCACTGGAATCCCACTGCGCGGTGAGTTTGACGTTTGTCGTGCCGTCTGGGTTATTGCGGATCACTGCAGGCGAGAGAAGCGAAAGCGGTACATCTGGCTGCGATGTGTCTTCGTCAGAAACCTTGCCCTCGCTGTCAAGCAGCCGCACTTTGCCAGCCTTGAGTCGGTCAACTTCCTTCCAAGGCAGACTGTCACCAGAGCTGTGGACCAGGCTTAGTACAATGCGTCTTTGCAATCCCTGATGCAGCTGATACGCTCCTTGATCAAGCGTATCATTCTGCACGACTTCGACCGGCTGATATGTACCGTCTTCGCTGATCTCCTGAATCTGCACACGGGCGAACACATCGTGACGCTCGTCGCTATAGTACTCATGCTCGGGTATCCTTGCGTGATTACGCTTATTTCTTGGCTTGATGTTTGCAGCAACCGAGGCATCACGCATGTCGTCCCAACTAAGGAGTTTGTCGAGATGCATGGACGTCACCTGCGCAAATAGGCTCACCCTAAGGCTTGCATCGTGCGGCGCGGTGAGAGGCAAGCTCATGCTATGCACGCTCTCAAACCGCACCGTTGACTCGCCAAAGCCGCCGACCAGAGAAGTAGTGGTTGCGCCGCCTTCCTCTGAAACACCCGGGATGAATAGCTGTGCGTGAACATTCGTGCCCTCCCTCTCAGCCCAGCCGACGAGATCGTGCATGACGACGTTGAACTTCAACGTGCTGCTTGGCGCTTCAGCCGAGCTTGGCTCAAGTGACAGGTGCACGACGCCGACGATATTGCACGTATACGGTGAATAGACATCGAGCGTGAAGTCTTGCACCCTGCACTCGAAGACTGCGGCCAGCGGAATGTCGACGTCTCCGACGCGTGTGTATTCGGGCATACAGTCCTCTTCAAATGGGTTGCCAATCTGGAAGTGCTGCATGTACTCCGGACGATCCAGGTACTGCACCATCTGCCGCATGGCCTTTACCCGCTTGTGCAACTTCTGGATAGACCAGAGATGGATCACATTGCTGTGGAAGTCGATGACTCTAACGCCCAGGCATGGCTTGGGTGTCGATTCCAAGTCGGGGTCGTTGCTTTCTTCGGCGGAAATGCCATTGAGCACCAAATCGTAGGAAGAGCCCAACGTGTGGCCGACGTCCACAATCGTAAATTGAAAGACGACGTTTCGTTCCATCTGCTGGCTCATCACCTGCGCCTCTTTCAACGTCGCGGCGTTTCGCAGTGCAGCGGCGGCCATGGCGACGTATCTATGCCGTCTCCAGTGGTTCAGCACGTATCTGGCGAGCCAGATTTCGCGCTCGCTCAATTCGAGCTTTCCATGGCTCTTCCTTCTCGGCTTTGGTGGCGAGCGCAGTTCCTTGAGCTTGCGGTCAAAATCTTTCTTTTGTTGAGACAACTGCTGCTGCATTTGCTCTCTCATTTCCTGCAGCGAAGCTTCCATCTTGGCCTTCTCGCTCCGCAACTCTGCGATCTCGACGTTGTCTTGCTCGGCGTTCTGCAACTTCTGCTGGTATTCATCTTTCTGCTTCTCCAGCTGCTCTTGCATCTCTTCCCGAATCTGTTTCAGGCGGTCTTCATCTTCAGACTGCCGCGGCGTGGAGGGGATCGTGAGTGCTGTGTCCAACGAGAAAGCGTCCAAAGTGCCGTTGCTAAGATACTTCTCTCGCACTGGGTGAGAGGACACCGATTCAGTGTCGGTATCAGCACCGTTGCTGTCAAACAGCATGGATCCAGGTCTTGCTTTGCGGACCGCGCGCACGCGTTGTAGATCGTCGAAAAGGACATCAAGTTGGTCATCGGTCAAGTCGGATATCTTCTGGTCTGGCCCAAGCGATGAAGAAATTGCTTCCTTTCGTGCAAAAGCCCAATCACTATCACGCCCATGCGTGCGCCAAGGAGCAGGATATTCGCTTCCAGGACTGCCCATATCGCCATCCGTCTCGGACATGGCTCGACTCACACTGCTGGCTGCCCTCTCATGATTAGGCGGCCGCGGCGAGGGAGAATCAAGCTGATCGGCTGTCACATAATACTTAAGCAGACTACCTTGTTCCGCTCTTTCCTCTCGGGCCTCTTGGGGATGGTTGAAACGGAAAATGTGGAAATCACCGAGAATCACACGATTGCCCGATCGTAATCGTTTTGGCGCCTCAATGCGTATGCCATTCACCATGATCGCCGCGCCGTCTTTTGGCACCACGGTTACGACACCGTCGACGTTCTCGAAGGTGCAGTGGTCGTGAAGTATCTTCGATCCATTCAATCGAATGTCGACAGAAGCATTGCCGTTCGCTTCACCATTGACTTTGTCGTTCGCCCCTCCACCTTCAAGCTGTTCAGCCTCCACGTTACCAACAGTCGTGGTTCCGGGCTTGAGATTGTAGATAAGACATTCTGCGAGCAATGGATCGTCGCTGAGATTGACCAAGTGAGGCATCTTCTTCGGTGTGGACAGCCCAACAAAGCCTTTCTCTATGCTGATACCAAGTTCCTCTAGAGCTGCTTCTCGCTCCTTGTGAATCTGTTCTGTCATGTTGAGCTTTTCTTCCCACGTCTGGTTCAGATCTTTGTAAAGCTTCTCGGACTGCGCCAATTGCTCCTGGATCTCAGCCTTGGAGACTTTCCTGACCGTGCCATCTGCGCTTGTGAAGCTAACAATTTGTTTATCGAGAGGAGTGTCTGGACTGTACTGCTCTTCAGCAACACCACCACCTGTACTGAGTTTTGACCGTAATAGAGCAAGCTCTTCTTTCAGTTCCCGGATCATGCGTGCGTTTGGATCCTCGTTGACCACGGCATGGTTCTTGATACGCTTGGCAGAGTCGGCGTACCGAAGTGTAGACAGTGTCTCTTCGAAATTGATGTCCGCAGGCGAGATTGCTGCTATCATAGCCGTCAAACTGTTTCCTCCTAGACTGTCCTTCAAAAGCCACGTCAGGACAGAGTCTCGATATGGCACTTGGGCACCCTTCTTAGCCTTGTTCGTGCTCGCATCTGCGAGAGCTGCGATGACACGTCCAAGAGTCGACAGAGATCGGTTGATCTCGGCTCCTTCCTTCAGCCTCGCACCGGTAGCTCCAGTGCTGGTAGCACGTTCAGAACCCGCCAAGTCAACCAGGCTGATCTTCGCAACTTTTTCAGAATCCATGTTCGTCTCGTCATCGTGCCGTTTCTGGGTCAGAGTCAAGGTGAAGACCGCATGCGATCGCGAAGAGGTCTCGTTCATGTTCGTCGCCGCTACCGTTCGGGCTTTGTTGCCCTCGTCCATCAGATGATCGATTTCCGCAAAGCTTCGGACCACCAGCTTGGCGAGATCTTCCACGTACGGACCTGTAGACGGATGTTCTCTGACTTTGAGATTGCCCTTGTTGCTCGGATTCAGAAGATCTCGCACGCGCTCGTTGTAGATTTCGAGATAGGAGACTTCCACGGTGCTGGTGAGGTTCTTATCCTTCTCGGTAATGCCCTCAATCCTGTCAAACATATCTCTGCAGATACGCGGGATGACACCCTCCTCCTCGCCGTAGCCCATCATGCTGTAACTCTTTCCTGAACCAGTCTGGCCATACGCGAAGATACAGTTATTGTAGCCTTGGAAGGCATTGTCCAGCAGTGGCTTGCCCAAGTCTGTGAAGAGATCTTCTTGCCCGGCAAAGTGTGAATCCTGCTTGTTGAAAGACCAATATGACTTATCGAATGCGAACGTTTTGGTGCCCTCCAACGCTGCCTTGACCGGCTTGCTCTTCCCGTCTGGCGGCGGAGGTGTGATTATGGTTTGCGCATCTTGCATAGACACGATACATCTTGCATTGCGGCCAGTCTCTCGATTATTGAAGGGCCTCACTCGCACGACCACTTTGATGTTGCCGCTCGGAGGCCCGCCGGACGCCATGTTGGCGTGCTGAATGGTTGAGGTATGGACGATGGTGTAACAGGACTATGGGATATGGTTCGCGCGATCCATGTGTGGTGCAGACTCGGCCCTGGAGGCCACGAGACGTCGTCGGGATTCTTGTCAACAGGTCGAAGTCGATAATTCGAGGATCAGGACGCGTCGGCGGTCATAGAACTATGCCACTCAACCGCGGAACCCTGTCTCCGTCTCCCACCCGGCCGTCAGAAGTCGCTGCCCGAACATGCCCTCTTTCCGCATGGTCGCACGTTGTTATCTTCACTCCGAAGGGCTACAGCTGAACGTGAGGGCCAAGCGTTCGTCGTGTGTATATTTCGAATGTTTCGACAGACCCAAACGAGCGTCGTGGTCGTCCGTTCTGCTCGTGCACAGGAAGGCGAGCGACCGCCAATTTTGGCAGGGAATAGTTCTAGAATAAATCTTGCCAAAATTATAAAATATAGAACTGTCGTATGCACACAATCATCGTACGGCAAGTGTAGAGATCGAATGGTCAATCTCACACTCGGCTCGATTCACAGTGAGGCCTGATGGCAGAGGACGACATGTGGCGTCCGCCTACGAACCGACTGATGAGCAGGCTCGACCGGTCTTTCTTCCAGCGGACCATAGCGCTCCGTGCTGCGAGAGTCTTCCAAAATCAGAACATATGCAAGGTCAGGAGGTAGGTCTCGGCGGCGAAAGCCTCTCCATGTGTCTATACAGTCTGAATTGCGTCGGATTTGCAGTCGTCGCTGACATACCAGCAGCGCACTCGAGAAGAGCAAAGATGCTTTGACAAGAGAGAGACTGGGCAGCGTTCAGCCCGATCCAGACGTCGAGCGAGCAAAGGCTGGCATGAAATGTATTTTGCTCAGACCTGAGGTAGCTACCAACGAGACGCCCGTTTCAGAAGTCGTCAATCCCACTCCTCACTCTTCCGTTGTGAGCGAACTCGCAGAACAGGGTCTGATTGCAGTCATACCCTACCAGCTGAAACTTGACTACGACCACTGGACGTATCACGATATCATGTCCTCGATACTGCCGGAAGACGAGCAAGGTGAGATTCCCTCGGGCTTTTCTCAGGTCGGCCACGTAGCGCACCTCAACCTGCGCGACGAGTACGTGAAGTACAAGCATCTCATTGCCGAAATCCTCGTGGACAAGAACCCCGGCGTTCGTACTGTGATCAATAAAATCGATGACGTTGGCGAAGAGAGCGAGTATCGAACGTTCAAGTACGAAGTTCTCGCAGGGCCGCACGACTTGAACGTGACAATATCGGAGGAGAACTGTACCTTCAAATTCGACTACAGCAAAGTGTATTGGAACAGCCGACTCAATACGGAGCACAGACGGCTCGTCAGTAGCTTTGCCGAAGGCGAGGCTGTTTGCGATGTCATGGCTGGAATCGGCCCATTTGCTGTGCCTGCTGGCAAGAAGCGCATCTTCGTGTGGGCAAATGACTTGAACCCGGACAGCTACACGAGTCTGCTCGACGCTATCAAACGGAACAAAGTTGGTGACTACGTCCGGGCATTCAACGACGACGGCAAGACATTCATTCGCACTGCAGTCGCCGAGCTCGCCAAGACCGATCACGCCGTCGACATCGTGTCAAGACCATCGCGCAAGAACAAGGACGCCAAGGCAGAAGTTCTCAAGACGGTCAAGCAGCCACGAACATTTCAGCACTTCGTCATGAACCTGCCCGCGACCGCTACTACCTTCCTGCCGAGCTTCATCGGCCTTTACCCACCTTCTGTACGCGATATGCTTCCTGCTGACGCCAAGATGCCTCTGGTCCACGTCTACTGCTTCAGTACCAAGAGTGACGACCATGTGGAGGAGGGCTACAAGATATGCGAGGAGCTGAGCAATCAGCTGCAGTGCGACATGAAGCCCGGGAAAATTTGCGAAGGCAAGGTCGAGGTGCATGATGTGCGGGATGTGGCTCCGAAGAAGAGGATGTTTTGTGCCAGCTTCCGTCTTCCTGAGGAGGTGGCCTTCCGAGACGCAGCAGCGTGACGCGGCGAGCAAGCTATGTCCGCCACGGCCGCAAGCCTACTGTATCTGATCCTGACGCGGAAGGTGCTTTAGCGAGGAAAATCCGCAGTAATGCTGGGGCACACCTGAGAAAACGAGGTGCTCAATGCAAGTCCGACCAAGGGCGTGGCTAGATATGGGCTGGCTCTTGCCTGGTCTGGCCTCAGTCCGGGAACTTTCTTCGGCAGCCTCGATTCACAACGACAGACAGATCAATACCAAGATCGTTCCCAAGACTTCCCAATGGCGCAACCACTCGTCTTCTTCGTTGGCGCTGCCTCCAGCGGCTTTGGCAAAGGCGTAGCTCTCGAGGCTCTCAGCCGAGGCCACAAAGCCATAGCGACATCCCGTAATTCCTCCAAGCTGGCCGATTTGAAAGAGAAAGGAGCAGTCACGATGGATCTCGACGTAACTCAACCACTCTCCGAGATTCAAGCCATCGTCGCCGAAGCCCACAAAGTCTACGGCCGTTTCGATGTTCTCATCAATGCCGCGGGCTATATCCTGGAGGGAGCGGTAGAAGAAGCCTCACCAGAAGAAACCTACGACTCCTTCAACACAAACGTCTTCGGGGTCATCAACCTCACCCGCGCCATAACGCCCTATATGCGTCAGCAACACTCGGGCACTATAGCGCACTTCGGCTCTGTGGGAAGTTGGCATGGAGCAGCTGGTGCAGGCGTGTACGTTGCCGTCAAGTGGGCCATAACAGGCTTCAGCGAATCTCTCGCTCTCGAGCTCAAGGATTTCGGTATCGACGTCATCTCCATCGAGCCAGGATACTTTCGTACGGGCTTTCTCAACCCTGGAGCGAGACAACTCACCGCGAAGAGATTGAAGGAATACGACGCGACATCTGTGGGAGTCGTGAGAAAGGTGTTCAACGAACAGAACAACAAGCAGTTGGGAGATATCGAGAAAGGCTGTAAAGTGATTGTGGACGTGCTCACGAAGAAGGATGGGAAGGATGTGCCGATGAGGTTGGTGTTGGGAAGTGATGCCTATCAAATGATCAAGGAGAAGTGCGAGAGTACCATTGCTCTTCTAGAGGAGTGGAAGGACGTCACTTGTCGCACCGATCATTCTTGAGACACTGGCTCTCGAGTGCGAAGATTGGCTCTAGGACACTACAATGAACCACGTACCGCATGGGACTATGCAGGGAATTTGGTTCGCTTTGTCGAAATAGGCAGAAAGCCAATCTGGTTCCATTGAATTGAATGTGCCATTTTCCATCCCAAGTGCGATGCGCCAATGCTATGAAATTCGATCTCAGTATTTACAGGTACATCACAGTATACACTTCTATCCTTTCTCTCATCTGAGCTCATCAATCCTGGTTCAAACAGCACTTTAAACTCGATATCTGATGGTCTTGCCGATGCTGTCGAGAATGCCGCTGAAGAAACCACCACTGCTCGATGAGTTCGACTTAGATGGCCATGGACCTGTAGAAAATGTGTATCAGTAAAGTACAACAAGAAGTCGCTACCGATTTGAATGACCTTTGCTTGCCTTATCCGCAACAAGCGCGATCAACGCGGCGCCCACACCGCTGCCGTCCTTGGCAATACCGATGCGGATCTTCTTCTCGCCCTGAGGCCCAATCTCTGGAATATCTCTCAAAGCCTCACGGATGTACTCCTCGAATCGTGGGTAGAACTCCACGAGCGAGCCATCTACACCAATATCTACAATATCGTCTTCATTGACCTCGAGAGTGGCATTGTTGGTGGTGGAGATGTCGGCTGGTTTCTTCAATTTATCTGTCGCGATCACTACCGCAGCTATGGCAACCGCAGAAAGGCGTGCCGCGCGCTTGCCAATAGCGGATGCAATAAGTCGCACCGCCTCCGCGTCTTCCGCCGAAGCAGCTGTGACCCCAAGCTCGCTATCAAGGGCCTGCCTTGTGATCTTCAAGCCCTGGCTGCTGTCTCCGGAGGTTGTAGAGAGGAAGCTAGTGTCCAGTCCCCATTGCTTGTAGAGCTTCGAGTTTGGGTCCACGTTGGTAGTGCTGTGAACGTCATTCTGGTTGGAGTGCTCATCCGTGAAGAGCGGCACGGCGCTGTCCTTCATCAAGCTCACCAGTGCTCTCCGCAAGATCTCACCCAAGAACATACCGGACACCCGCTTTTCGAACATCTGTATACCTGGATTTACTGACTCTCTATCCAAGTCGTGATCGTAGGGCGTGTTTGGCAGGACGGAAAGGCCGTTGTCGAAGCTGCCCCATTCAGTGTTGATGATCATTTCACCAGTGCTATTGTCGATATCGCCAGCCGCAGCTCCTAGCTTCTTCAACTTGGTAATCTTGTCGAGCTTCTCCACATATGCACCATTTGTACCAGTTCCAAAAATGGCTCCAAGAAGAGTTCCAGTCTTGCCTGGACTGGTGTAAGATCGTGCCATCAATGTGCCGACAGTGTCATTGACCAACGCTGCCACTCTGACGGGCAGTCCAAGCGCATCAATTTCACTCTGAAGCAAAGCGCATACATCCTGGCCTACTGTCTCTTGAATGTCAAAGCCCTTGGTCCATCGAATGAGAGTTCCTTTGTTAATGCCAACTTGCTGGACTGGGAAGGAAAAAGTGAATCCCAGGCTGAATATCTCTTCCTCCCTATATCCACGAAAGGAGGAACCTCTTCTCTCCTTGTGACTTGAATAATGATCACCGTGGTGAGTTTTGAGGAACAGCTCGATCTGCTTAGCCAAGAAAGAGAACAGGTCATGGCTAGTCTTGGCGACCATCAGATGCTTGGGAATGGCCACCTTGCTCTGGGTCAAGCTGAATGTGCTGTTGCCATGCAGCTGAATTGAGCAGACTCGAAAGTTCGTGCCGCCCAAGTCCACTGCCATGTAGAGTCCCTTCTCCGTACCATTGGGCACAGCAGTCACGTAGGTCGGAATTTGAGACATAGTGGCTCCTGTCTTCTGCAGACCTTCATGCATCTGGCTAATGAATTCCTTGACGCCGCGATTGACATTTTCCTTGCTGTACTCGAACTCTGCGGCAACGCGCTCAGCTGCTGCTGCCAAGGCCATGCTGTGCGGACTCTTGTGATATAGGCTTCCCGAGACGTGCTGTGGAGCTCTACAGTACAATTCCTGGACGAAAGGATTCGGCGAGGGACAGGAAGGCGGCGGTTGCGGCGAGTAGGCGGAGCGGAAGAAGACCGAAAGATGGCGCGGTACGATGAATTGTAAGACTACTACCAGAAAGATGGCGAAGCAGAGCAGTAGTGTCGAGGGCGAGCGGAGTCTGTGTCGCGTACGGGCAACAAAGGACTGCTTGTGGCGGAGCTCGCGGAGGAATGGGAGCTCTTCCTCTGCGCTGTCGAGCACGGATTGCCTTCGCTTTTGCTTCTGCTTTTGCTGTAGCCTGAATCGAAGTGCCTCAGAAGGCCGAGCCGGGTTGGAGTCGGAGCGGTGGTGTGGCTGCTGTCGGGATGCCAGGGTGAGCGTCTCTCAGTGTCTGGTATGAGAGCGGAGGAAGGGGAGGGGGTGGAGGAGGGGACCGGCAGAACCAAGCAACAAACGGGGTGCAGATGATGCCGGTGCTGATGCTGGTCGTGTGGAAGGTGTGGGTGTCGGGTGGAGCCATTACATATCGCACTGTAGCGAGCTTTCCGATTCTCTTAGCTACTCGTAGAGCACCATGGTCCATGAAGCTCGAAACGCCAGCGCTCGCTCTCGCCGCCGCGCCCCGCCCTCGATGGCGCCGCCGCGCCGTGGCTTGCTTGCATGGAACTACCTTGCCTTCACGTGGCCCATTTCATGCATGGATGCATCGCCGTTGCTACTCTTCGGTCCGATTTCAAGGCCACAGTTATACAGCATATATCTCGCCCTCGCCCAGCTCCAGCTCCCATTGCTGCAACATCTGCCCATACCCGCCAGTGACGTTGCCACCACGCCGCCCAGCACTCGAATCGAGGTTTGAGAGAGCATTGAAGTGGCCGACTGGAGGCACCCATGCTAGCCGCGGTGCTTTCGCGGCGACGGCGAGACCCGATCCTTATTCTAGAATACCGCGTCCTGCGGCTCAACCTTCAAGCACATCGCTCGCGAAAAATAATGTACAGCAGCAGCAGGAGAGGAGATGAAGCACAGGCGTTCGAATCCAAAAGCTTCACAACGGAAGTCATCCGACGCAGTAAAACCGCGGCAAGGAACACCCCGAAATATACTTGGAGCTACGCAGGGTTCTCGACTGACAGCGAACATCGAATTGCCCTGTGCGACCTTCAGTCACAACTAGATATGTGTACCTACAGACGTAACTCGGATTTGTACTGGCCCAGCCTTCCCTCCTCAAGTGCTGACCTAAATTGGCTCCATTTCTCAACATGCATTGTCACTCTAACTTATTCCTTCTTCGTGTGCGCAGTGTGAGCTTCTTTCAGCTCCCGTTTTTGCTTCGCCAGCGACCGGCAGTAAATTGAGATTTATACGCATATCCCTCTTCTTCCCGTCTTCCGAACGGATAGCTCTAACAACATTCGATGTTCTCCAGCAGCTCGAGTGAGAGCGGAAAGCTTGACGAGTCCGTCCTGTGATTCCTCATCAAACACCATGCAGAAATCGGCGGGCAGTACTGATGATGACCGCAGAGAATTCGAAAGGGATGAGTTCACGCGTGCAACGCGAAACAGCTCGATGGGCGGAAGGTAAGACCGAATGCGTTCCAGAAGCTCATATGTGCCAACGACACATTGGCTGCAGATTGGCCGAGGCGATCACGAGCTGGCCAGTGCCATTGCTGCTCCGTGTCCATGGTCTACTGGTAAGCAATCTTATGACCCGCAGCAAAATGATCCTTCTCTTCACAGATCCTGCGCAGCCTCCTTCGCTCACGCGATTCCTCTCTGCTAAGTCCCGGACGAGGGTGCAGAGAATCTTCTTCCACCGAACGCCGTCTTGTGCTCCGTCCTCTTCTTGGTGACCTCCTGGAACTCGAATCCCTTCGTCCGTCGTAGCCTTTGGCTTGCTTCTTGTTATGCTGATGTATAATTCCTTTCGCTGCCATGAACACCCCGAAGAGAACGACAATGGCTATTTCCCTCTTGCCAGGATTCTCGAGCGACACCATATTATCGTGCAAGGAGAGAAATGTGCAAGTCACAGATGCTGCTGGACGAGATGCCCGACTTTAGCTCTGGCCAATAACTTCGAAACCGGAACGACATCACTTTTGAACTGTGTTTTCGCTCGGACAGTGCTTTCGCTCGGACAGTGCTTTGCTTGGAGTTGGCCAAAGGTTCGTGTCGACAGGGGAATTGAGTTTGCGCTCCTGTGTCAGCTGTTCAGTTCTATAACCAGGAAAAGCAAGGATTCTAGTCACGTTGCCAACTTGCAGCATGGAAATTGGGCGGGAATCAGACACTGGTGGCTTTCGCAATAATGAAGGACTCGATGAATAATCGGCTGCTACCAATGCTCGAGGCGTAAAGCCCGAATCGTAGCTAAATTCCCGCTTCGACGCCATAACACCAACGCTAAAGGATCCATTCGATATCTCTTGCGACTTGCAAACCAGATGGCACTTCTTTCTCAAAGGAAGGCTGACATGCTTTCAGACTTCTCTCCAGCTACCATTGACTGGCTTTCGACCGGGCGTCAATGCTGGAGGGGTAAGTGGGCTTACTATCGGCGCTTCGGTGTGATACGATGGTGCTGCGCTCTGCTCATACGGATTGGGCTGAGCATATGATGGCTGTTGCGCACGATCATAATATCCTGCATCTGTAGGTGCGTAGGAGAGCGGAGAAGTTCGGCCTGCAGTGTGGAAGCCGCCTGCCATCGGGCTTATGTACTGGTTTGACGTGACTGGACTCATAAAGCTGTTCGGAGAGTATGGCTCGGCACGATTGTTGTTGTATGTGTTTCGAGCGCCATAAGGCGATGGCGGTGCCTGCTCATGATATGATGGAGACGTCTGCGCTCCTGTGAAGTATCCAGTAGCATTGTGGCTTCTGCCTTGATTGCTATATGGACTTGCTGGGTATTGTTGCTGCTGTTGCGTGGAACAGTCATTGTAGGGGTTGGCGCGCATGCCGCTAGCTCCCAAGTCGCCAAACTGTGGTGGATTGTATCGCTCGGTGCCGAAATTGTCCTGACTCTTGCCTAAAAGAGAGTCTTGCTGGTATGTTTGGGACGTATGTGTCGGAGACGTGTGGTCTATTTTCTCAAGCTCAACTTCTTCATCCGATTCAACTCTTCTAGATTGGGCATTCTGCCAGCTAGGCATCGCCGGGAGAGCATCCTCATTGAACTTTTTGCTTGGCGCGTCGAACGTCGCTGTCGATGCGACTGGAGCGCCGCGGTAGCCTCCACCAGCGCCGCCAGCCATATACGCGGGTGGCTGAGTCGGAGGTGGTTGCTGATACTGGTACGGCGTAGGTGGTGCTTGTTGGTATCCGCCTCGATCTCGGTTGCTTCCTCGTGGACTCGGGCAGCAAGCATTGAAACAAGACAAGCAACCACAGCAACATTGGAGCCCGCAGCACAAACAGCGTGCAAGACACCAGAGGATGGAGATGACAATGAGCGAGCCGACGACTATTCCTGCTATGACCGGCCATTTGCAGTATGAATGCGCCATGCAACCGTCCCAAGAGGAGAGCGACTCGTGGACCCCGTCGGCTGTGCTTCCGATGTCTCGCTGGGCGAGGAGAATCGCGGCGACTGGCATATTGGCTGGTGTGTGGCCGCTCGCCGGTAGCCGTAGCGAAGCGACTTCCGCTGGCTACAAAATACTCGTCGTTGCTGTATAAGAGGACTTGACACAGCGGGCCCCTATGCGAGCATTCCCAGCCTCTTTCTAACCGTGTTTGTCGCGTGCTTGTCTTCAATCTTGCAGAGAATGGCAACGTGCGCAATGAGACGTAATTTTGTTGATATCATGGCGGAAACGACGCTTTGAGTCAAAACTGGCAGGAGGAGTTGCGCGTGCACTCGACTCGATCGAAAGGACCAGGGGCAACAGCCAAGTCGTGTTGTGAAACGCGCTAGCGATGCAGCGCAGCAGCGGACTCCGCAGTGAGGAGGTGGAGGCGGAGGCGGAGGCGGAAGGAAGCGCCACCGTGGAGAAGACAGCAGCGTCGTGAATGATATCCGGGGTTGCGTCAGCCCACTTCACCCCTCGCCCTAGCTCGGGGATTCAAGCCATACGTAAAATCGCTTTTTCTTAGTAGGCTATACGTAAAATTCGATAACAATAATGTTATAAAGCATATATAATAGGAAATTGAATATAAGTGCGATAAGGGTTAAGAAGCAGTAGATTTCCGATATATTAGCGACTAAATTGCGACTATAGGTAGTTAGAATAGGCTAACAATCGGCCTCTACGTATATATCGCGTTAACTATATAGTTAATTACTTTATAGGTCGGCCTATATATCTATTATATAACTACTACCTCTTCTTACTAAGTAAATAGCTAACTGCTACTATATCTACTATCTACCTCTTCTAGCTTAATAGGGTTGTTCTTACTACTAGCAACCGCGCCTTTATAACGACTAGATTTCTTCGGAGGCTCGTAGAAATATCGCTTGCTTTATATAAACTCGTAGCGGCGACGAGGAGGTACTAAATAAGGCTAAATTGCAGTATATACGGTATCTTTATTAAGTAGCGCCTCGTCTTGCTAGAGCTAGTCTAATCGAGTATTAGGCTCTTACGCGAATAGGCTATTTAGTCGCCGCCTTAGCTTAATAGTTTATACTATAATATCGCCTTTATAGTTATAGGTACGAGTCGGCAATAGTAGTGTCCTTAGCTTACTCTAGCTATATATAACTATACCGCTATTAGTTGTATCGGTACGGCGCCTATAATCGCTAAGAATAGTCGTATATAGATTACTAGTCTTCTTCGAGATATTATTACTATCGAGAAGCTATAGATCGAAGATACGCCGTAGTAGCTTATCGATAGACTAAAGGTTAACGTCTATCTACTTAGTCTTACTATTGTTGCTAAATACGATATAGAAGGCCTTACTACACTTAAGCCGATATAAGCGTACCTTGCTAATAGCATTCTATACCTCCTATAACATCTTCCGGCGGTTATTATTAACTAGGTTCTTGTCTTATTACGTAACTTATAAGCGCAATTTATTCGCCTCGATAGTACCTACCCTTATAAGCCGATTAGGCTACTCCTTCTATCGCTTCTTTACTCGCTTAATAATGCTCGTAGACTAGTATTTACGCTTGTATTCCTCGCCTTTATAGATAGCCGCGTCAACTAAGATAGTATAGGCTTCTTCTGCTTGCTTCGTAGGTAACGAGGAAAATAGGTTAAATAATAGTAATATAGGATCGATACCCTATAGGGCTAGTTTTAGATAAGAACGTCGGAAGTCCTTACGAGCTTATATAGTACTACGAGACGCCTTAATCGTACGAGGGCTAGTCGTAGTATTAAGGAGCTATTACGGCAGTTCGGGTATCGGTATTTACTAAGGTAGCGTAGGGGGTAACGATAGTATGCCCTAAGCAATTAAGTTTTCGAGATCCCCGAGGTAGTAGCGACTATTAGCGTAAGCCTAGCCTTCTAGATCGATAATAGTAGGCTCTACGGAACGTTGTTACTTAACCGACGCGATATGCTCCTACTAAGCGACCTCCGCTATTGCTAGCGATTTATTATAGCGGGCTTCTTCCTATACTAATTCGCCCTTAATTGTTTGCTAGTTCTAGTTATAGTTAGTAGCTCTATACTAATCTCGAATATGCCTATAAGGGACCTCCCTATTAATTAGGAATATACCTATCTTCCGAAATGCTAACCTTATATTATAAGAGGTAAACGTCTTGCTACGAATAGCCGAGAGTGCCTCGATAAACTTAGATATTCCGAATTTACTAATACTACGGTATATAGCCTCTAATACTGCTTGCCTATGCCTTAGTTTATACACCTAGAATAGGATAACATCTAACGGCTATATAAAGTATAAAGTGTGTAGTTATAGGCCCTATAGTTAAATCTTATACTGCTTTATAAAGGCTGCAAACTCCTTAAAGCAGTAGGAGCCGTAATTGTCGTATAGAAGCACCCTCTATTCTTCTAGATCTTTAGGCCTTATCTTCCGCTTAAACTAGCGGATATAGTGCATTATAGTATCGTCGGTTATATATCTAGAGTTAGACTTATTAATAGTAATTAAGAAGTTGTCCTTGCCTAAGAACGAGGGTGTATTAGTTAGCAGGTAACGTCGTTCTTACCTTAGGTAGTAGCAATAGACTTACCTTCCTTCGGTACCTACCGTTCTTAGACTATTACACCTTTTACAATTAACTAATAATCTACTACCTTACCGAAGGCATTAACGGTCTCGACGACAGTTATATGCGTATAGTTGCTATTACATTCGGTCTAGGCGCGCCGCTTCGTATCTATTATAACGATATGCTCGTTACTACCTATTCTAACTCGGAAGCTAGTCTTATCGAAATTCTATATATTCCGCGGCTTTATACCTAGTCGCGAAATTATCGCCTTAAAGCGGTTAAACTAACTCCTTATCGTAGAAGGGTCGTAAGCCTCCTTCCGCTATACCTTAATCGGCTTAGACTTAACTTTGCTAAGTCTATAGCGCTTTAGAAAGCGGTCGGCCTAGTCTATACTAAATAGCGGTATTGTATCCTTCGGCGTCCTCTCTAGCAATAGACTAACTAGCATCTCTATCGCTACGATAACGATTAACGCTACTAGTAAGAATATACCTATTGCGTCCCTCTCTCGATAATAATCCGCTAGCGCTAGCTCTTAAGACTCGTCTAGTTTAGTATTAGTTAATAGACGATTAAATAGCGATCTACGGCCTCTTAACCGCTAGTAAATACGAGAATATAGGCTAGTTGCCTTCTTACTCTTATAAAGCGCTCGAATGCTAATCTTCTTCTTATCCGATTTGGCCTCTAATTCGTAGTACTTCGAAACGACGCGTTCTACTACCCTCTCTGCCCTCTCTGTCTCGGTTAACCGCTCGGCCCGCACCCTCTTTACCTTTTTGCCCCTTTTACGCCCTATACCGAGTTTTGTATACGATCCGTATAGTAGAATATAAGAAATAGGAGGAATACGAGGAATATACGCTTTAGAATAAGGTAGACGCGCCTACTAAGGATTATATAAGAAATAGCGATAGCGAGGTCCTACGACTACTATACGCTCGGATAAACTAGCTAATATTATATTTAAACTCGCGGTTTAATATTATACCTACCTAGATATCTATATAGGACTAGAATATACTACTTATCGAGTTTTACGTATAGCCTACTAAGAAAAAGCGATTTTACGTATAGCTAGAAACCTCGCGATTAGCGGGCGTAAAGTGTGTAACGGAACCCTAGATATAAATCGACGTCCGTATTACTAGAAACGCCGATTCGACGGAGCTCTATATATACTAGATTATTAATAGAGGGTTAGCTTTACTTTAGTCTATTGTCGCTTCCTATTATTATTGCGCCTTCCTTACTATATTATAAACTTTACTTAGACTCGCTATAACTTCGCGCCTAGACTCGCTATATTATTCTTCCTATACCCTTATCGATAGCGATAGCGACTACGATAGCGATAGCGATAGCGATAGCGACAGTAGCGTTACTACTACTACTACCGTTTCGAGTTATAACTAGTATTTCGCGCGACCTTATTCTTATAGCTACTATAGGTGCTTTAGTACCCGATTTAGTACCTATATTACTAGTAGGAGGACTATATTTATTATAAGCTAAGAGGCGTATCGCTATAGACTCGCTACTAACTCGCTCTAGCCTTCGACGTCCTACGACTATAAATACGAAAGATTTCTAGTACTATAGCGAGTAGATATAGTAAGACCTCCTCGACGATACCGTAAATCTATAAAAGAAGAAGATAGTATTAAACAGACTACGTAAATACTCGGCTACGGGTATTATTATAGAGACTAAGCAAGGAAAGCTAGTACTATCGCTATATTACTTTTATACTCGCTACGATAACGGCTATAAGTATCGCGTACTAGATATCGAAGGAGAGAGAGTCTACGCTTATTATAAGTATTAGGGTAAGAGTAGCTATACTACTAGCGAGATTAAGGTTAAAGAAGAGGATAGAAATAGCGAGCTAGCCGCGATATAGGCGCGAGTCGAGGCTATAGAGGCAAATAATACTATATTAGAGGCAAAGAATACTATATTAGAGGCAAAGATTAAGGTATTAGAAGCTAAGTTCGATAAGTTAGAAGGATATTGCCTCTCGTAGTTTAAATAGCTTAAAAATAAGGCTATTATTAAGTCTAAGGATATATATACGATATAGAAGGAGCTATAGCTAAATAGCGATCGCGAGCTACTAGTAGACAACATTTAAAGAGCGAGTCTGTAGCGAGTTCTATAGCGAGTCTACTACGAGTCTACTACGAGTCTATATTTCTATTTCCTTTCTTCTTCGATCGTATCTCTATAGATAATAGATTAACTAGCTTCTAAGTACGCTTTAGCTTCTAACTCTTCTATCCGCTCTAACTATCTTACTAGCTATCTTGCTAACTATATTGCTAGCTATATTACTAGCTATCTTGCTAGCTATCTTGCTAGCTATATTGCTAGGTATCTTGCTAGCTATCTTGCTAGCTATCTTGCTAGCTATCTTGCTAGTCCTTAGCTTCGCTCGACTCT